CTGCCTTTGGAGAAGACGGGAAGGCGGTGGGGTTTGGGGTGGGGGGGGGGGGAAGGAGGAGGAGGAATGGGGGGGGGATCGTGAAAGGCTTTGCCTTGGGAGGGGCGTGGTGTGGAGGGGTGCATTTTTAAAATGAGCCACATCCTCCGTGCAATCGCCAACCGCTCATGGGGGGGGGGCTTCGATCTCCCCAGGGCGCCTCCTTGACTTGAGGATCCATAGGGTCGCTCCCGGTCCTGCCGTTCCTGGATTATTATATAAATCCCCCCACTCTCCTTTTTTAGAGTTTCCCATTTGGGGATATTCAAGGAAGAGCCGGGATGTCCGAGTGGGTGAGGGGGGGAGTCAAGATCTCACCCTCAAGGGGGGCAGAGAGACAGAACTACCCCCAATGTCCCCTATGTGCAATGCATCTGGGTTGGGGAGCAGTGCTGGAGGACACCCCACCTCTCCCCTGCATCCTGCCTCCATCCGTCAGTGCAAAAAAAGGAATGAGAGAAGAGTCACTGGGCTCTCCCCTTAGTCTCTCCTTCTCCTGCTCAAGGTTCAAGGGCCCCCATTTGCGAAAGCTTGGGAAGGTCCGTCTAAGGCTTTCCGAGATTCGCTCCACACCCAGATCACCAACAGCCTCCCCAGTCGAGGAAACCAAGCCTTGGGATCCCACTGAATCTCTGGTGATGCAAACCAGATGGGCCAGGATCAAGTCCCGGAAGGCAGTTCTTTTGCACCTTCGACTCCCCTGGCGCTTGGAAGCAAGAGTTTCAACCCAGAGGGTTGGTCTCCCAGGCTATCCGAGCTGTTTAAGTTTGGGGACGTCTTAGAGTCAACCACCATCCAGACTGATCATTTTTCTTTTCTCCAAGGCAGAGGTTGAAAGTGAGTAGATCTCCATTCGCTTCTCTCTGGACGAAAAAGGAATAATCCAATTTCAAATCCTTCTTAACATTTCCAAGGTAAGCAAGATGTCATTCTTTATTCATAGCATGGAATCATGGCGTTAGAAGAAATCATATATAGCTCAATCTCCAGCTCAGTGCAGAAATTGTGTATCTGACCGATGGCTTCCCAATTATCCCTCAGCTTCCAGTTCCACTGTTGTACTGCTGAAATAGTTAGAAGGTTATTCCTGATACTCAATCGAAATCTGGCTCCCTGAGTGCATTAATTTGTGTCCTACACTCTGGTAAGAGTGAGAACAAGTCCTGCCTCTCTGTCTGATAACTTTTCTTTCACTCTTTCCTCCTGTGGCTTGGTTTCTAGTTTCTCCTCAGTCGTCCTTACTCTCCCCTCCCCCCGAGTCTGTTCCTGTTGGCCTGCATCCTTCTTAAAAGGCAGGACTGGACACGGTAGTCTATAGCAGTGGTTCTTAACCTTTTTTACTCAGATGTTTTTGAACTGCAACTCCCAGAAACCCCAGCCAGCAGAGCTGATTGTGAAGGCTTCTGGGAGTTGCAGTCCAAAAACATCTGAGTAACAAAGGTTAAGAACCAGTGGTCTATAGGGGGCCTAGGAAATGCCGAGTAGAGAGTACGGAAGACTTGATGTCATTTGGAGATGACACCCCTGTCAATACAGGTCAAAAGAGACTTTGCCATGGGTTTTTTTGTATGTGATTCTGATAATAACGGAAAGGTAGTTGGTGCCTGTGAAATTCGTCCTCGTGGCCCCTGTTTATCTCTTCAAACATAGAGTTCACAAAGGCAAACCAAAAACCTCTTGATACACTGCCAACAGTTGATCTCCTTATCAATGTACTTTACTTACAAAAGATAAAGTCCATTCAGTACTGACATCAATAAAACATGTTTATTGTTTACAGATCGTTTCTAGGATAATTCATAAGCATATTCTTTCAATTTCACCAAGCATCAATATTAATCTTCTATATTAAATATCACAGGTTACTAATCACTCTTCAACTCTGTCCTTCTCTAAGATTGCTAACACAGACTGACTCAACTCTCTGACTTCTCCTCTCAGGTTGTGCCTTTTAACATCTCTGGTGGCCCTGCCTCTTAACCACATTATCATATAACTCATGAATATTACATATCTTATTACAGAATTTAGGGTGAACGCTATATTCCTCCCTCAATTATGTTTGTTTGGGAGGAGAAACATGTTTCTCATCCTAAACAAACATGTGGTGCCTCGCATAACAATTGCTCCGTTTAATGATGAAACCACATTATGGCGACCTTTTTGCGATCGCTTTCGCAATCACTTAATGATGTTTCCTCTGAAGTGTTTTCGCTTTGCGATGATCGGTTCCCTGCTTCGGGAACCGATTCTTTCCAAAGCGATGTTTTTCTAACAGCTGATCGTGGTTTCAAAATGGCCGCCGGGTAAATAAAATGGCTCCCCACTGTTTTCTGGGACGGATTCCTCACTGCACAGCCACCAAAAATGGCCGCCTGTGACGGCTGTGATGATGTCACCTGCCTGTCACTGCTATGGCTGGAGTTTATCTGCCTATGGCAGGACAGGAGGTGGGACTTCAGTGGGTGGAGTTAATGTATATAAGGGGGGGAGTGAATGTGGTGAGAGGAGATTTTGAGAGATTTGGGAGATTTGGGATTTTGGGGAGATTGGGATGAGATAGAGTGTTAGGGCCTGTTTATTCAAGTTATGAGGTACTGTGCTAGAGTAGGTCTGAAAGAGAGAGTGATTGAGGGGGATACTTTATTACATTGATTGCCTTATTTAGTTTCCACGTGATTTACTATTATTTATGTTTTCTCAATAAACAATCCTTTTTAATTTTTAAATCCATACCATTGTCTGATGAGTCAGATCAATAAGTGTGGTTGGTGGCAGCAAGTAAAGTGTGAATGAGAGAGTGTCGTGACCATTGCGACGTGAAAGGAGGACGTCACACCGCCCTATGGAGGATTTTCGCTGGACGGTGAGTTTCCAGCCCATCGAAACTCATTATAGTGGTGCCCCACATAGCGACGATAATCCGTTCCAGGAAAATCGTCACTATCTGGAATCATCACTATACGGAACGGAAAATTTATTTATTTATTTGTTTGTTTGTTTGTTTGTTTGTTTTATTTTATTTATTTATTTATTTATTTATTT